TTTAACAAATATATCTTACTTGACCTTTTAGGACTGAACTACACATTTCCTCCCTCCAGTCCCCTTGCTCTTCCTCGCCATGTCAAAACCAAGCCACCTGTGTCACGAATGACAAATACAGCTTCTTCGAGTGTCTCTGTAATGAAGGCTACGTTGGAAAATATTGCGAAAGAGGTCAAGGAAATCTGTAACGTTTCCATCTTAAAGTAAAGTGTAGTATGCTTCATTAAAATAATGCAAATCGTGGACTTGAACTGACTTTTCATGTCTAATACAAATTTTCTTCCTTCGTTCTGTCAGTCGACGACTTAACGAGCGAGCCAAGTCACATGGCCCGGGTACTAAAAACCAGCATCTTTTCTTGCAAACATATAATCAACATCTCCTTTGTTCTTTCTTCAGTCAGCCATGGGGTCATGCAAAGAAATGTTTGACCTGAACAAGTAAGGGATAAGTGAATGCCTTTATAATAATAATGGTAGCAACAATATTATGATGATGATAAGAAGGTGTATTTTTTCTTATACCTTATGGAAATCGTATCACTCTACAACGGAGATAACTTCGTCAATTTTTTTTTTCCACAGTTAGGCCACATAGCTCCCGAGAAAGGGAGGGACCACGCCCATACAACTATAAGAAGAATTAGCCGATGTAAACTGTAAGATTAACCCCTTTAAGTGTTCATCTGGCAAAACCAGCTCAAGTGCGAAAGTTCTCCCAGCACCCTCTTGTAAAGCTTTGGCTAATTCCAGTAAAATACCTCGTTTGGCAATAGATCCTTGATTCGTGGTAGCATTACTGTAATGAGGCAAATATGTTAAGGGTTGTGGTCGATCTCAAGGTCAAAAATTCTTGATTGTCTACCATAAAAAGGGCAAAAAAAGAAAAAGGGATTCCTTCTCTAATCCAATCGAAGGTCACTGACAAATTTGAGAGTAGATGCAAGCTTCTCCGTACAGAAAAATAAAAATTCCTTGATCAAATTTCAAAGGTTAAACGCTTATCAGCTGGTCACCCTTATCGTTGACTCAAAACCATTGACCGTCTTTTGTCACGTGGAAGACCTTGGTTGTGGAAGAGGGGGCTGGACAACAGTAATGAAGATTGATGGAAGCAAGGTATGTATGGTGAGATTCTCACTGAATGTTTGGATTTCTTATTGTTGGCCTCGGCAATGTTTGCTCTTTAAGAGAAGATGGAAACAGCGTCTGACCTAAGAATGAAAGGACCTTTGAAAGAAGCTATCCCTCTTTCACTGAAAATGATTCATCATTGCTCAACTTGCTAGCGCGAGAAGTATGTTATTCACCAGCCGGGAGGTCCGTATTGGGAAAAACTGTGCCCAAGGTCTCAAGACAAAGGGCACAGTATTTCCCGGTATGGACCTCCCGACTGGTAAATAAAATTTTGTAATTTTTTCCTTGAACTTAACGAAATGCTTGTAAAAAAATAACCCGAATAACTTAAGGCTGTAACTTTCAGTAAGATCCTCCATAAACGGAACCATTTTTGAGCGGAAACAGAGGTAATGGAATTTGAAAAGAGAGGCTTCACTGAGACAGTTTTATCTGCGTACTGATAAGGATGATTTAAAAGGTTTCTAAGCAAATATTGAAACATGTTCTTATAAGTGTATATTACGATCTGACACCTGTCAATCAGAAAGCACGTGAGAAAAAAATTAAGCTTGCTGACTCTTTTGAAAAAGACGAAGCTCTTGTTTTAGTAAGTTAACTCGTGGTAAAGGACAATCACTGTGACTTTTTCATCTTCACTGATTTTACGAAAACAATTGTTCTCTTCCAGTAATTATTAATCTACGCAGAAGTACCTCTGTTCTGTTTTAAATGTCAAGGAGAATCAAATTGTAAGTAAATTTGCACGTGCGTTTTGAGGTTGCGAGAGCCTGCTTATTTGCTTGCTGCAATGGCATCTATAAAATCTTCCTTCCACCGTCATGTCAAATGACATGCGTTCTCTAGCTAGACACAAGGGGATGAACTGCGACTTTTGGTCATATAATTTCTTCGGTTTCTGTTGCGAAATGTGGGGTAGAAATAATCAAAGTTTCTGGAGCTTGCAAAGAATTAGCGAAAGTTTATCCACACTGAGTAGAACTCAAACCTTCATTCAACGTCTTAAAATGAACAAATTATTATGTAGAATTCTGATCTTAAAAGAATGAAAGTTGCAACGATAAGACTAATTGTTAATTGCAAATACCTATCGTTTTAACTTTCTTAGTTACTTTTTGAGGATTATTGAATTACAAACGGTTTTGTAGGCCGCATGTCGATCTATTAAAAAAAACACACTTGGTACTAAATCCGTTTTCTTGGTAAGTTATTTTTTCTAAAGGTCGTGATCGAAATCTCTGCTTACGAAGCGACCAGCTGGTTCAACAAAATATATTAATGACAATTTGAAACGAAGCTAAGGATGTACTAAGCGATCCAACACGTAACGGATAGGATACCGCCCGCTGTGAGCGGGCCGGATGGGAGAACACTGTTCGCTCTCGGAACCAATCAAATTGCAGGACTTGTAGAATACCGCCCCTTCACGAACTGAGAAAAAAATAAAAGAGAATTGTTATTTCCCTAAGAAGGAGACTAATCACGCTATATGTTTCCAAGATTCCGTCGATTTGGAAATTTTTGAACGCTTAGCAATGAAAAGGTATCACTCCTGGAGTAACAATAAAAGACGTTTAGATTGATTCATTTCGTATTCTTTGGCAGCCAACTTTTAATTTTACCTCGGAGTATTAGATCGGCAAGAACGCCTTTAAACTTGTTGGAGGAAGGACTGGGTTCGATTCACAGGAGACGAAGTTACCAACGTACTGGAACAATTCTTTTTCTCAAATATAGCTCGGTATGAGGATCGGCCACTCAAAGAGATTTGTCGTCAGGAACAAAAAGGCCGAGTCTCTGTACTCACTGATAGCTGATAGGGAATACCGCAACGCTTCACTAGGACGTAACACGTGGAAGAAGCTGGATGAAGCTAATCAAATGAAGTTTGTAACCGCGAATGTAAACAACCTCGAGCTGGAACAAAGCTCTGAAAGCTCTGATGAAGGGCTGACGCTCCAAACATTAGCTTTACCAGCTCTCCACGATGGCCCATTTACATGATCAACCCAGTCGAGAAAACAGTAACTTTCATTTGCACACGAACATTAGATGAAAACGTATTTAGGGCAAAAAGTAATTTTCCATACACCGAATGCAAATAAGACCATAAGGCGTCCAATTTGAATTGTCATTGTTCTGGACTGACTAGCCTCGTCTTCACGTGGAAACACAAAAGGATTATTACATGTGTGAGAGGCTAGTCAGTCCAGAACAATGGCAATTCAAATTGCACGCCATATTTGCATTCGGTGTATACATCCTCTTTAATCGTACATTCTGTAACAGAATAAGTGTTGTGTGCGGCGTGTGCTCAAGAAGCCACTAAACACGAAGATTAAGAGAAATCTGGAGATCAAGAGCTGATCTTTATACTATACTATAATCTTAAATGAGGATGCCAACGTCACAAAAGTGGTTTACAGGAGGGTCCTCTTAAGTTAAATACTAATACAAAGATAAAATACAAATAGCAACAAATAACTAAAGCTAAATCTAAGAACTAATTAAAAATACTAATCACCAAGTATTAACTAAAAGTAATACTAGCAAAAGTCAATTAAAATTCAAAATTAAATTTGGACAGGCCACGTTTGAAGGCAGGCAGTGAGTTTGCATTTCTTAGTGAAATGTCTAAACCATTCCATATATCTGCGCTAAAGTTAACTGACGACCAATGACCCCATCTTCTTGTGGCACTAGATTTTCGAACGTCATTTCTCGATCTTGTGTTGTAACCATGAAAGTCCCGATTAAGTGTGACAGGAATAGTATTACATGAATGGTTGTTAATTAATTTATACATAAAGATGGCATGGTGTTCCTTTCTACGACGCAGTAATGGTTTCCAGCCAAGTCATCTTTGTCCAAGATGAACTCAGTACCTAAGGGAAGATGTTTCTTTTTTTTCCTAAGACGCAGATAGAGAAAACGTGACATAAACATCTTCTAGAATATCTCTCTGTTTATTACAGATTAGCAAAGCTTTTTTGTATTTTGAGGAACTAAACAACAGCTCTCTTTTTAGGGTCCACTCCACCAAGTTCTTTATTCGGATCATCACTGACCCCATCCTCGTTTAAATAATAATGAGATCCGTGCTTCACATTTCGTCTTCGATTCAATACCTCCTTGATGTCACCAGCTTGAATTAGCTGGCGAGTTGTCAGAGCTTCGGCTAAAGAGAGCTCGTAAGACATGCACGGACCCACTGATCTTCTTCGCAGTCATTCTTTGGGATGTAACGTAACGGATGCGTTGCTTGACATCTCGAGAAACGACGGAACCACTCGAACGAGGATTTTTTTTTTGTAAATACAGACACTATCTATGGGGTGGTCTGTAAACTGTGCCCTCAAGTAACACGGGATGTTGTTGTCCTTTCTGTATGCGGGAGAGCCGAGCCTAAAAGACCGTGAAAAGAAAAAAAACTTTCAGAAATTTTTTTTATTTGGTTCTTAATGCAGAAAAAAAAAAAAAAAACAAGAAATGCCAATCGTCATAGCATTGCTTCTGATAGATGCTTTAAATGAAACGCATCTTCCACTGAGATACTATAAAAAATATTTTCCAAGGGAGAGAATTTTTGTACTTCGTCTTCTCCAATGATCTAACTTCAGCGCATGCGTGCAGTAAGTACGAGTCAAATAAATAAAAGTTTCATAGGTCAAATATGAATGTCAATACCTTTGGTCTCTTATCTTGTTCTGTCATGTAACCAACACACATACTCTCTGTAGTGTGACCCCAAACAAGATCAACCGTGCAATCTTAGGCAAAATGACAAGGAGAGTATTAGTAGAGAGGCATGTCCGCTTCACTTAACGAGGAAATAATGTGCGTAACTGTCAAATAACCTCATCAACATAGTATTTACCTGGGTTTAAAGTATAAATGATGTCGAAGTGGTTGTAAAAAAAAGAATTGATAAAAAGTTCAACTATTTCAAAAATGTTAAAAGTGAAAAACACTCTTACAGAAACCAGAAGATTTAGTAATTACATGTAATTCTTAATTTCATTTTCGCGTTCCGACCAATTCTGGCCCTAGTTAAGAGAAGCTGCGATAACCAAAATTCAAAAACCTTAATATCAGGGTAGACATACCATCGGCGGTCTCCCCTTCCTCCACTCGCAGAAGCAACACCCCTCCTAACTTGTGCTCCACTGATGAAAGAAAAGGTGAACCTAGAGAGATGTATATGTGTAATGTAAGAAAGTGTGGATGCCCTGAAAATACACCAATAACTCATCATATTCCTTGTACGAAAAACCTCGTAGAACAGGGCAATTCTTTTGCTTTTTTGCTTGTTTGATTTATTTTTTAAGGTAAGTGGAAGCGGAAGCGAGTCGTACGTGCCACTTGTACATGTCGTTCTCTTCACACTCGCTTAGTACTTGACTAAGCTCGCCTGTAGCCCCAACCCCCCCCCCCCAAAAAAAAGATGTAGCCTGGTCTGCTAAAAAATAACCAGCCGTGGAGAATATTCTAGGGGTAGAATTTCCCAAGCAATAAAAACGGAAAATACTAGCTGACAAAGTGTTAAACTAGAAACTTAAAGTGATACCTAAAAACACGTCCTCGAGTCCTTCCTGAACCGCACTGACTGCGTCCCTAAAACAAGAAATAAAATTGCAAAAATATAAAAATTAAAAGAGAATAGCTTTAAAGAAAAGAAACTGACGAGGAAACCTCTGGGGTCACTTGCCCTCGTTAATGCCAAGTAAGGGTAAGAAAATATGTTTTCGAAAATTGTTTTTTGCCAAGCGTGTTTCCTTGATTTAAATTCCAGAAATGAATGCACACCAAACATTAAAATCACGATGTAACGTTTACACCCTGACATCTGTATGGATATTCTCCATACTATTCTCTACGCATTTCCTAAGGTGCTGACAAAGAGAATTTGTTTAACAATCAAGAGCCTCTTTAGTTGGAGATCATTTCCTTTATTCTAGTGGCATTAATGTGTGAATCAGGGGGGATATTGTAATGAGAAATAACTGAAGATGTTCATCACTCTAAGAAGTTAAAGGGTTGAGAGCTTACCTAGTTAAAGCCAACTTGACACACTCTCTGGCCAAGTTGGCTTTAACTAGGTAGGCATTATCCCCCCTGATTCACTCTCTATGTGAATCAGGGGGGATAATGTAATGAGAAATAACTGAAGATGTTCGTCACTCTAAGAAGTTAAAGGGTTCAGAGCTTACCTAGTTAAAGCCAACTTGACACACTCTCTGGCCAAGTTGGCTTTAACTAGGTAGGCATTATCCCCCCTGATTCACTCTCTGTGTGAATCAGGGGGGATAATGTAATGAGAAATAACTGAAGATGTTCGTCACTCTAAGAAGTTAAAGGGTTCAGAGCTTACCTAGTTAAAGCCAACTTGACACACTCTCTGGCCAAGTTGGCTTTAACTAGGTAGGCATTATCCCCCCTGATTCACTCTCTATGTGAATCAGGGGGGATAATGTAATGAGAAATAACTGAAGATGTTCGTCACTCTAAGAAGTTAAAGGGTTGAGAGCTTACCTAGTTAAAGCCAACTTGGCACACTCTCTGGCCAACATGGTCTTCACCAAATGTTCTCCACAACCTATACACATTTAATATTGCCATTCACCTATAAATTCTCAGGATCTGATAATTAATTCTCCCATCTGGTTTGTATAACTCTCCAATGAAAATTGGTTGACAAAACTTGCCAAAGTGCAAATCATGACAATCAATTTAATGTAACTGATGAGTTTGTGTATTCTCATGAACTGAGTGAATAAAACCGAAAACTGATGATTCAACCAACCAAATAACTCAAACCTGATGTACAACAGGCCACTCCAACTTTGTTCACTTGACGACTTGTTGCCCAGCAGCCACTGCCATATATACTTGCCTAACAGAGGAATATTTTACAAAAAGGCATACTTTGTGTTTGGTGAAAAAAAAAGGAAAGAAACAAACAAAGAAACAACAATACCATAAACAGAAATTATGTGTTTAAAATCAGTGTTCAATTTATTTGGACCTCCTATACGTTCATGAAAAAAAAAAACATCCTAGCTTTGTATGGAGAAGCTTTTACTAACCTGACCAATACGACCTGGTATTTTATAAATAACACCACCACTGGAAACACCAGCACAGAGATGTCCATGCCTGTCCATGCAAACTGCACCAACAGTATCCATGTGGTTACCCTCCTGCAAGAAAGTGTGTTTATGTTAAAAGAAATATGTGTCCATAATCTCAGCACTACATTTGTCATTAGGAAACATATGAATTTGAATATATGAATCCATGACCTCTGCGATATCAGCCCAGTGCGGTGAATATATGAAAGTTATATAATATGTATTCATTAACATGAGGATTGCTTTCATATATTAATTTTCTTAAAACCACAGTATACATATATAGTTTTCATGTATTCAAATTCATTGATTCATCTCTTCCTGGGTTTAATACGAACCAACATAGTGACCAGCTCACAGTTGGCTTGTTAGCTCAGTTGGTAGAGCATTGCATTCATGGGTTCAAATCCTGTATGGGCCTGAAGTTTTGTCAGGCCTTATTTCCACTACACTACATAAGTACTGTTCCTTACTATGAGGATTGCTTTCATACACTTAGGAAACAGAGTGCTTCATGCTGCCTCTCTACAACTGAGGGGTACGATTAATCTGTCAAAGAAGCCTGTCAAAAAGCTGAGGATTATCTACAATGCACTAGGATCCTGTGCAGCAGAATTGCCAACATGCATGCAATACCCACAGTTATGCTTGAGTTTGGCCAATATTACACACAAGTCTTCATGTAACTTCTTGATACTTACATTTGATACATTACACAGGTTTTCAAGTGGAAAAGTCTTGGGTTTATGATCTACATCAGTTAACTCTAATCTTGACTTGCATCTTTTCCATGTTTGGACACTTCTGTCTTAAGAAAAAAAAAACAAAACTGGCAAACCTGAAAAATTTTAAATTACAAATTGGAAATTACCAAGTCTGTCTGGATGAATATGTTAGATATCCAGTAAATCAATTCAGCTGATCAGCTCATTAAGTTATTGTACTTCATGTGCCAGAATCACATTTTTTTTTAGCACAAGAGGTGTCTTTTAGTAGTTGCTTAAACAGAAGGGAAATTGCAAAAGACAGAGTTCACTAACATAAATTATTTCTTCAAAATTATTTAAGTATCAGCAAAGAGGATGTTGATTACATAAAAAAAACACTGAGAAATACTCGGACTTTCAGCAGTTTTATTCAAGATTTCTTAATTATTTATTTTAGCTAAAAATGTACAATTTTCATACCCCTAATAAATTTTTCATACCCCTAAAAGTTAAAATTATTGTTATTATTATATAATCATGCTTTTCTCACAACAGTAGTAAACAGAGAATAACCCTAAAATGTGGTTTATAGGATGTTTGTGTCAGATCAGTTAACACCCAACACACTCACCTGTAATCATATCTTCATCACAACATGCAATGAAACCATGATTCACTGCCCAAAGAAAAGCTCCTTCTCCAGCAAGAAAGCTGAAAAGAAGATATTGCTTGAGTGATTTCAGACCAATTGAAGGTAACTATGTCTATAAGTACAACTGCACAGTTAGCCCATGAATCATTTAACAAAGGAAAAACTACTGGTATAATCCTAACAGCATTGTCAAAAGAACCAATTTTCAAATCAAATTTCCAGTCTCCAATGGCAATTGGGGGACCATAGCAGAGCATCATCCCTGATTCAAATTTCCTGTTAAAGCTATCTCCTTGAAATTTTTATCTGAACAATTATATCATGTCTGACATTTCTCTAACAAGTACAAACAACAGATCAACAAGAATACTTTTTTGATTTGCCTCGAATATGAGAAATATTCATTTTAAGAGAGACCAAGGGAGAGCAGTTTTTTCTTTGGAGTGAAAGCTAATTTGTGATGGTCTGCAAAGCAGCTTCAAACACAAGAATATATGAGAATGTTAACATATCTATGATATATATGACAACATACATTGGAGAAATAAGACCTAGAGGCGATGCTCCAGTCATGTCTCCCTCCAACAGTTTATTAGCCACCCGGATAGGATTCCTTATTCCTAAGAAGCAAAATTACAAGTCAGTTTTGCATCAAAAAGTCGATAGGATTGAAATGGGATCCTTTGTATCAGGAAAGCACAGACCAGCGAACATTTTTCTTTCTTCAAAGGTAAAATTTGTTACCAAGTTCTATTTTTGGACAAGAAAAAAAAGGAATACATTCAAATGTGTTATCATGATTATGGTGATTTTTTTTTTATCATTATTCTAATACATTCACAGCCTAGCATTACAAAGTGACTGGTCTGTGAGAACTGTTGCTTCTCTATAATATCTTCAATTGGTCTCAGAACAACAGCAACTTCTGAAACATGTTTACGGTTCCACACATTACAATCATCTGAAAGGCCCCAACACTTTACTTGATCTTCCACTAGTCCAAGAAATACATATTGTAGGGGAGTGTGTTCTCAGTTTGAAAGTCATTCCATCCATCAGTTTTACAGTCAGTAAGGTAATCTCTGAACTTTCTCCATTGATTAATTCTAACAGTAATTTTAGGCCTTATACTCAAATTTAATTAACCCTTTAACTTCTTAGAATGACCAGCTTCTAATTTCTCCTTACAGTATGACCCCTGAATCAGACATTAAGGTCATGAGAATAATGACAACAATCAACAACTACAGAAGTTCTTGATTGTTGAGTAAAACATCCTTTTCTGCACCTTAGGAAATGCAGAGAGAACAGCAGGGAGAATATGCAGACTGATGTAAAAGTGTAAAGGGTCAACAGTACTGTAAACAGGGGTGTGGACAAAACCTGGCCTAGGCCATGGCCTACCCTATGGGCTACCCTGTGGCCTACCCTGTGGCCTACCCTATGGCCTACCCTGTGGCCTACCCTGTGGCCTACCCTATGGCCTACCCTGTGGCCTACCCTATGGCCTACCCTGTGGCCTACCCTATGGCCTACCCTGTGGCCTACCCCATCGCCTACTAGTGGTCAGATTTTTAAAAGGAGAGCATTGCTGGAAACCTTTCAACATTTTCCTGAGTGCTGTCTTACCAATGACTTTCTTCTACTGTTTTGGCGGCCACATTCCAATCAAAATTTCTTAACCTTCTGATAGAATAAGGAAACTGAGGAACAGAAGCTGGTTAAATGCAACTTTGGGCAAACTTCATCGTATCAGCTCTCCTTTCAAATTAGTGTAATACTGGCCCTTTCTTTGGAAAAGCAAGTAAAGTTTGCGAAATGTTTATGACAGCAATGCGTGTGTGTCCCGCGGTGCTCGTTGCAAATTCAATACTCTACAGCACTTGAAGGGACTTAAAAAGTTGGCCTGGCACTTAATGTTTGTGTTTTCTTAGCTGGATATGTGTGCTCTCTGATATAACACCATTCATTACATTTTTACACCAGCACTCCACTATATGTTACCAACTGACAGCCTGCACCATAAAACCGGCATTTTGCATATCCTCTGCGACCATGCAATATGGGCCCCTCCTTTCCCCTCCCCCTTAACCTTCTGTTATGGTTGAGTGCTGTGATATTTGCAGTGTTTCATTCCCTCGGACGTTGAAAATCATGTTAGTGACATCTTAGTGTACCCTTTTCAGAGACAGATAATTGTACACCAGTGTATTCGTTCGACTCTTACTGATTTTATTTTTATGTTCTTAAAAATCTGACCACCGGTAGACCATAGGGTAGGCCACAGGATAGGCCACAGGGTAGGCCACGGGGTGGGCCATAGGGTAGGCCACAGGGTAGGCCATAGGGTAGGCCACGGGGTAGGCCACGGGCTAGGCCAGGTTTTGTCCACACCCGTAGAAGTACCATCCAATGGAACGGAAGTACGATCCAATGAAACAGGGATACGATCCAATGGAATGCAAGTGGCGATTAGTTTGCATTTTTGTCCAGAATGCCCCTCCATAGGGATACGCCTATCGGGTTCAATATTCAAATAATCAATCCATTATTGTATTCGTGAAACGGCTAGCGGGTTCAATAATTAAATAATAAATTCATTATTGCATTCTTGAAACGACTGGCGGGTTCAACATCCAAATGATCAATTCATTAATGTAACCTTGAGGGTACGCTTCACTTAGTTTGACTGTAAGTTGTTTAAACAACAGGGAAAAGGAGTGACGTAACGGCAGAAAATAGATTTCATTTTCAGTTTCAGAGAGTGCCCTTTA